AATCAACCCAGCTTCAGCCACCTGTATAAACAATCCTATTATACATGCAGGCTGTTTGGTGCTGGGGGAAAATTGCAGGTCAAATTAATTTGACTTTATGGCCTCAGCAGAATCAAGACTAAAGTGAACAAACAGTGACTGCAGTACTATGGCATACTGTGGTTAAAATCAGAGGCGTGAGTCTGTTTAAAGTACTGAGTCTGTTCAGCTTCTCTGCAGTGAACTTCCCCCGCAAGAGAGCATGGGTAAAGGTCACATTAACAAATGGAGCTGCTTCAGGGAGGAAACCACCTCTACAGAGATCTACAGTTTATGAAGATTCATAATCAGCATCAGAATCAACTCTATTTGCCAAGTTTGACTCCAGGACAGTAGCTTTCAATATGCTTTCATACAGATGCTGGGGTGGACATGAACTTACATACTAAAAGTATTTTTAGAAGGCGACTGCTATGTACATGTAGTACATTTTCATACATATTAAGAAAAGGTGTCAGGGAAATGTGGGGGCAGGATTATAATGCCAAATGTGTTTCCAACCAAGTAGGTGGCTTACTTAGCGTAAAATGTCCTAATTGTCAACAACAGATCTCTAGTGTCTACTTTAAGACATCACATCTGGATTGTTTCAAATGCTTTTTGGATCAATTTGCTGCAGGCCTATACAGATGCCCCTTCATTTGGCAGAGATTACAAGACTTGACTGCTGCTGGCTCCTGAACTGAAACACTGACAAAAAGCACAACAGCTGCAACTGCATCACAGGATTTATAACCAAAGAGACGCACACAAGATAGCGCCAAAAAAAAAGTTAAAAGCAATCAAAAGAAGAGCTAAGAGGGCTGAAGAGGATTATGTCTTATCCCTAAAATGTAAGGTCACTATAAGCACAGTCATGAGTTTAAGAACTACATTTTGAGGAAAGGGAGGACCATACTTGAGCACAAGAAAAGGGAAGACAGCTTGAAGCCCCTTCATTAAAGAAGCAAAGACACAAAGAAATGGACTGGACAATGGCACAAGATGAGGATAAACACTGATGTGGCCTTTCCCAGATGAAAATCCTTTATGAGGAACAAATATTTCCAGAATGATGCCATGGTTGCCTGCTTTCTTCTGAACATATTTAGCATAAACAAGTAAATCCAAATGCAAGTTTCTGTTTGATAGTTTTAGTTACAAAAATGGCCAGTGCTGTGTAGTCAAGTTGGCTTCCATTTGATCAAGTCAGCTGCAAAATTTGCCCTACATTTATAGTAATCACTGTGAAATGCTTGTGAGGACTGTTTAACATCATGTACGAGAGCTTTGCTGAATGTTGTAGTCTCCAACTTCACAGCTAGATGTCATTAAATCGCACACACTGCATCTTTAAAGATCAGTGTGTTACAAACATCAAGTAATATTTGGAATAGCCTAATAGTGCTTTCAACTTGAAAGTCAAAATGTTGCTTGAATAATTCTTTTTAGTGCAATACAGCAGTTTAGTGTAATCAGCTCTGTCCTTGTGATTTGAATGAAAGCATCACACAAAGTTCACTAAACTCATCAAAACAAAAATGTGCCCTGTGTAGTTTGACCACTAGTAGCACTATGGAGCCTCATTTTTACAAGAAAGTCCCCTTTTGTATGTAGTGTGCTTACACATGACAACACATGCACAGAAGGTGGGTAATGTGATTTATACTGCTTTCATCCTGTACAGTACCACTGATCAACAGGTGGTAATGCTAATGCACTAACAAAGGCCTTAATGATGTGGAAATAAGATATGCAATAAAGAAATTGCATACAAATGTTTCATGATGAAGGAAACGTATTCACTACATTTATTACACCTCAATGACAAACCACAATGGATGGAAACATGTTAGCTGACTGTTACATTAGCAGTTTCCTGTGACAGTATCGATTTATTCGAGCAGCAACCACAACTGTAAGGTCTTTAAGTCTAAGAACTGACATCTATGATTTTAACCAGGAAGAAGGTCAACAGTGACTGTTGCCAAACTTCTGTGATTTAAGAATAAAAAAGTTACATGAATGTGAAAATCTATTTTTTAAATTGCAGTATACTATGTTCAGTTATGACCTTTGTCACACATAACACAACACATACTTTGTTAAACAGTATTTAATGACACCTGTCCCTGTCTACCACAGTCCTGTCTACCACAGTCCTCTTTTCTCTTCCAGAAACCATCAAAAGAAAAATAATACAACAGAGGATCCAGACAGCAGTTCACACTAGCAAGACCTATCAGTGGTGTGAGTCTCTTACATTTAAAGAAAACAATCAGCGACACAGGCAAGAAAAATATGGCAAACATCAACAAGTTCAGGACAAAAATCAGCATGACATTCACTTTGTTGTTGACCCTTGCAGAGTCGGTCACGTGTTTGCGTAGAGTCCAAGACACCAGAGCAGTGGACACAATGTTGACTGCCAGCATGGCGAGCACTAACACAGGCTGAAGATAATCAGTCATCAATAGAGCTGGACACAGGCGAAATTCAAAACAGGCAGATTGTGTTTGGTTATTTAAAAACCTAGAAAAATAGAAACTCTCTGGGATGTTCACCACCAACACAAACAGCCAGATGAAAACGGCAGCTCTGCAGGCATTCAATGAGGTGCGAAGATGTCGTGACCTCAGAGGGTAAGCCACAGCCAACAGCCGGTCCACACTGATGAAAGTAATGAAGATGGAGCTAGAGCGGATGTTGTTCCGAAAGAGCATTGTGATCCAGATGCATGCCATATTCCCCAGTGGCCAGGTGCCTGTGGCATAAAAATAGACCCTCATGGGCAAGGAGATGACGAGCAGCAGGTCTGAGATGGCCAGGTTGATCATGAAGACAGCACTGGGGGATTTGAGGTTGTGGCGGCGTAACAGAATCCACAGTGACACAGCACTGAGAGGCAGACCCAGTGCCATAACAGATCCAAACACCACAGTGTACACTTGGTACCTCTTTTCAACTTCTGTACTGTTGTCTCCCATCATGAGCATTTTACTTCTGTGAGAAATGCAGGAACTGCAGGCAGATGAACTTATGTGCTACAGAAACCACAGTAACCCCCACCATTGTAACCTAAACCTGAAAAGTGAACAGGAAGCAACTTTGACAAGACTAAATAAGAGTTCAGAAACTGTGGTGTTCAAGTGACAGGAGTTTGATGGAGGTGAGAGTTTGATGTGAAGGAAAGTTTTTACTGAAACAAAAACCACAATAATTTGCATTGTACACTATATTACTCTGATAATCCATAATGACACAACTCCTTCATGTTATGTCAGTTGAGAGTGCATGAATGAGGCAATAGACAAAATAAACTGGTTGCTAGTCTATCATAAGAAAATCTACTCATTAAATGTTTGTGTTATTTCAATGTGTTCAGGAGGACCCATGTCTGTAGTGCATCTGTACTACACTGGCAGGTATGTTTGATGTTGAAATCCCAACATGCAATTATGATAATTAAGAACTGTATGTATGCTAACTACTGGCTGTACAATGATGGCAAAAATTACTATGATCATGTTTCCATTGACATTTAGCTACATGTCTGCACAATACTGTATTTGCACATTTACAGATACACTTGCTGTACATTACATTACCCAAACTCTTCAGTTTATCTGGATCTTGTGGTGTTAAAGCATCAGTTCAATGACCCACACAAACAGTATTAAAGAATAACCCGAACTGGATTTTTAAACAAATACAAGGATCATTAAAGTATAAATGTTTGAGGGCAAAGAACATCTTACTTTAAACTTCTTTAGGTATCTGTCTAAAGTTCATTTGAGTGCACATCACTGTACTTGATGTGGGAAGTATTGCCGACTAAACAGGAAGTGTTAGAAAATATACAAGGTCTTACAGATGATAGTGGCTATGAAGTTGCACCTGAACAGAATTTAGAGGGAGCTGTGGGCTTGGCAAAAAAAAAATTCTGAAGGTTTCAGAATAATCGAGAGTGCAGTATCTTTTCCCATCAGTACATGTTTCATAGGAATTAAATTAAAAATGTGACTTGATGATGCGGATAGTGAAATAGATACATATGAAATACTCTGCTTACTCAACAATTTGTCTGATAAACATTTTTTTAATTAAAAAGCTGTTACTTTGCTAATAATTCTTAAATGTACTCTTTGCCAGCACTACCAAATTCAGTCTATAAATATTCAAAATCCAAAACTTTTCTGAGGTTTGTTCCCTCTTCACATGTGTGCAAAGTGCATACTGGGCCACGACTTCTGTGACACAATTCTGCTTGTATGCACACGTCTAAAACTGAAATTTAAAAGTTGAGCACAGAAATGTGCATACTTCAGCAGGTAAATATGAAAATAGTGAAACATGTTTTTGAGTGAAAGGGAACTTTAAGGGATTGTCCAAGTTATCAAAAAGCCATCCTGCAGTTAACATCTGGACCTCATATAATGGCTATCCGTATAATGGGTTTTGAGATATTTCACTGAAAACAAATAAAACTCATGCAGGTGCTCCATAAAATGTCAGAGGATTACAAAAGTCAGTAGGATTCATCCTTTGGGGATCCAGAGTTTATGTTCATAATTTCATGGTAATCCATCATGTAGTGGCAGCCCAAGTTATGGACTTGATATACAAGATGTAGCATGAGATGTTATTTACTTAGGACTCAAACCTATCTCACTTGGCTCTGGCAGCTTATGCATGAAACTTCTCACACTGTGCCATTTTCCACCTCTACACCAAATACGTTCAGACTTCCTGACCTTTCCCAGCCATATGATCCACACCCTACTGCACACTGCTCTTCATTCCCACATCAAACCACTCCTGTCTCTCATTAACACTAGTGTGTAGAGGTACAGTATACTGAAGCCCTTCTCCCATTGCCATTGGCCAAACTCTTTATTGTGACAGTATTAAAAGTGTCCCTGCCATCTTAGCTGCTGTTTCATAATCTCTGCCTGGGAGATTTGGTTTGGAGTTTACACCACAAAGAGTAATGAAGTCCTGCTCCTGTCGAACTGATGTGTGATTTATGGCTTTTGACCACACCTACTTTTTGCACTTTCCTTCTATCTAGATCAGAGGCTGTAAACTTTTATGGCCCCTAATTACATACTTTAAACGATTTTGCATATAGGTGTTACTTTGACAGAACATTTTTGCTCATAATTTAGGGTTTTATAAATTAAAGGATTTTATTATGGTTTCCCAGGGGGAATAGGACTGACCAGCACCCCCAGACCAGGGTTATTACATCAAAGGATTTTTTTTTTTTTATTACGGTTTCCCACTAGGACTGATCACCAGCCCTGAAGACAGTTTGTCACAATCTTGACATAAATCTTGACTCCACACCTCAGTTCGACATGAACAGGAATGTTACTCCCTCTCTCTACATTCACCAAGTGACTTGTTCAATTTGAGGAAGTGACACATTGAGCAAAGCAAAGAAAGGAAGTAAATACAACACGCTTCAATTCTTAGTAATATGAAGAAGACAGAAACCCGTCATATTTGCCCATTAAGTATATGAAACTAGAGCCAGAAGTCACTTAGCTGCTTAGCATAAAACACTGGAAAACAGCGGGGAAACTCCAGGCTGGCCGTGGTCTAAAGTAGCAAAATCTGCTTCTGAATAACACAATACTGATGGTGAAGTGATTGGTTTGTTTAATTCATAGTAATAAACAAGTGTCACCACAAGAAAAACCGGGAAATTACATAATTCAGCATAACATGGCAAATCATCATTTCATACTACTTTTGTACAATTTATATTAAACAAGATACAGTGGATTTTGTTATCACAAAACCACCACACATCATAATTACAAATCTGAAAAATGACACCTAATTCAATCTCTCCTTGTGTTGTTCTGTTTGTGCTGTTCTGTTTGTACTTATCTTTAAGTAAAATCCAAAAATACTCAGACACCATGTGGGAAAGTGGGTGCAATTACACCATAGTAGCAACCATCCAAATTTCATTCCATTCACCTTATCACCCAATCTCCACTTTACCTCTTTTGCCTTCAAACTCTGAGCATAACCTTTTGAAAGATTGAAATCTAAAGGGCTGTTGTAATGACAGCACTTATATGATTTTACCTGACTCACACACTTAAATACAAGGTGTGGAGTATTAGGTTAGCTGGCCCATCAATGCATGTAAGGCACAAGAGAGCCTAAATTGATTTTTCTGGTAAAAGCAAGTTTGCCATTTTCTCTTGGACCCTTATATTTAAGAAACTTGAGTGCTTCTCAAGACATAATCTTCATTATTAGTGTTGCAGGTAAAAAACACTGCTTTAAAATGCTGGGCCGGCTGCTGCTGTCGACAGCCAGAGGGACAGGCAGAGTTAGGAGAACAAATTTGGAAAAGGGCACATTTTTTGTGTGTTTGCATGAAACAAAAATATAAAAAAAAAACTGGTTTCTTTGTCATATACATACATTCTCCTTTTAATTCTGTTTTCTCTGTTTATTGGCTTTACGGTCAATGTCCATCTATCAGGGCACAATTATGAGTTTGTAACTAAAATAGATAAATTGCAAAATTGAGAAAAATGAAACCAATATAAGACATGTTGTGGTTTTCACCACATCCTGCCTGCAGCCTTGACCTTGCACCTAACTGTAGCACATACGTCTTACCACAGAAGATAAACAGAAACCTTATGAACCTTGTAAGCAGTCTACAACTTAAAGATGTGTAGGCAAGATATTTTTCACAGCTCTGCAAGATGAGAAAGAGGGAATTGAAGGTAAACCGGCTGAACATAAATCAGTATGGCAATGAAGAGTTCTGGGCAGGTGGGATCAGGGACCTACAGGTCCAAGAACAGTATCATCTCTCCATCAAAGTGGAATTGGAATTAAAGTGAATGAGATCAATGTTTGTATGAGAACAAGGAGAGCTGGGGTAAATAGGAGGGTGCTGACCGGAGTTTTTGCCTGTATCTGTAATGAAATCACTGGTCTACTTTTGGACAGTGTTTATAAAGTACCATTCTCCCAAACCAGGAAGTGTGAAGAGACCACCACTGCTGTGCTCGCTTCATTAAAATTTCCATTTCCACAACGGCAGGAGTCACAATGAGCCATGCTCTGGCGCCCTGCAGAGGAAAAGCATGCGTGTGTGTTCTTGCCGACATGATTACAGTATGTCGCTGGTAGTTTGAAAATGACTCAACACTGACCCATAGAGCTATGGATGTGCATTTGCGCTCAGGAAGGAGGACAGCAAATGTCTGACAAGCACAGATCATTATGCATATGGGCAAATTAATTTTTTCTCTTCCTTTACTGCTTTACTTAGGTAAACATTTCCTCTGTAAGCACAGAAAGTCAACATGGCTGTGGACCATGAGGCTGCTTTGTGCCTCTATCACAAGAAGGAAAATAAGGCAGTTGCTACCCTTGACCAAGATTACTTATGTCTTCTGTTCTGGTTAAAGATCTTTTTGTCCATCCTTTCCTCTGGCAGCAGTACCAGGCGATTCCACAGCCTGATTACAGTATTTCACTACAGCAAGAGTTTTACTCTGGGCACAACACAAATAATGGTTTCACACCCTTTAATTCAACTGCTAACAACTGTTAAAATGCCCGTTCATTTTCACAGCATGCACTGCAGGATAGGTCAGCCTTGACAGGTAGCCTGTCTATCACAAAAATGTTCAAACGCAACATATTGAAATAAAAAGGTGGGCGTATTTTTTCCCTTCTATACTTCAACAGCAGGAACACTGATGTTAAACAGGAAATTTATCATTTGCAGAAATGGCGGTTTAATTCAGAAACCTACTATTAGCATGTTGAAGTGTCTATGAGCAAGATAACTTTTGAAAACTGGGGGCGGCTGTGGCTCAGGAGGTAGAGCGGGTTGTTTCCTAACCAGAGGAATAGCGGTTCGATTCCCGGCTTGTCCAGTCAACATGTGAGGTGTCCTTGAGCAAGACACTAAACCCCCAGTTGCTCCCAGTGATGTCAC